TTTGGAGGCATTGGACGGATACACTGCTATCAATCTACCTAGAATTCTGATTGAACATATGAAGAAGGTGACAAACTTCAAGGATGGGAACCATGGGTTGCCATATGGGTTCCTGCTCACAAAGGTCTTTGAACGTTTTAAAGTCCCCTTGGGAGAGCAGTCGTGGGAACTCATAAGCAAATGTTCTCAATGAACACCTTAGAGGAATGCAAGTGTATTAATAAAAAAGGAGGGAGGGGGGGGGGAAGTTGGCAGCATTTCTACAATCTCTCAACTAATCGATTGTCACACTGCTTCTAATGAGAAGATCAGGAGGCTAAAGGCCCAAAATGCCATTCTTGAGGGAAATCTCAATCAAGCCAGCGCAAAACTTGGTTCTAGCAATGCACAGGGTGCAAAAGTTGCCTTCTTGACGGTTGAGAATACAGAGATGAGGAAACAGGCGGAGAACCTGAATGGGTAGCTGATCACTGAGCAAAAGAAGGCTAATGCTCGTGTGGATGGTATCTTCAAGGCTCTTACTCCTTTGTCCTTCCCTTCCTCTTCCAGTGCCCCCTAAATTATCCCTTTATCAGTGTCCAGTTTGTTAGTCCCTGCCTAATTCCACAATGTCCAGTTTCGCTCTCTTTTCCATAAGGTTGTGGTACTCTAGTAATGTATATTTTGTGAATGGTTTGTAATGATGGTACAACTACTTGCTTTTATTATTCTTAAATTAGTGAGCATCTTAGTCCTCTTTAAATGCATGTTATACTCTTGTGTCATGTTTTTGGCTATGATGTGTGCACACAAGTGGCATGAGTTAACTTTGATAGATTTCTTTTTTTGCATTTACTTATATAATTCCTTTTATGATGACAAAAATGGGAAGAAAATTGAAGGGGAGAAATAGGTACTCAGGGAAAATATGACTATTCTACAGGGGGAACAATATGGAGATCTGGTTCTCAGGGAGAATATCAATTCTAAGTTTTTTATTATCAAAAAGGGGAAAATTGATAACTTATATGCCCTTTTGTTTTGATGATGCAACAAACATTATATGTGAACTAAATAGAAAACCTGATACAAAGCCTCTAAGTGCTCAAAACAATAAGTCAAATATCTCGCACAAGTTCCAATGAAATCGGTTAAGGGAACAACAGAGGGAACACACAGATATTAGTTCCTCCGGTCATAGTATATGTCAACTCTTACAGTTGTTAAAGCTATTGCACTGGACACGCAATATTGCAGCAACACTATTGAAGCATGATGTGTACCAGACACCCCCTTACATCATCGTTAATGACCTTACTTATATATTACCAATATGAGGAAAGGGATTACACACACCTGCAAACCCTAAAACATATTTTACTCCCAAGTGTGCAACCGTCTTCATTCACTCTACATCATTGAAGAATAGAACTGTAACATAACAAAGGTCCAGATCCCAACATTGAATATGTCGTGTGTCCATAGTATTGTTGTATTTTTGTTTATGCTATTAATTTGTAACTCCTACTCAGCTTATTTAGAAGCATCTCGTAGGACACTTTGTAAACCATATATCTTGTATTTGTGTTGACTAGAGTTAGTCAACGTGGTTAGCATTGTAATAGAGTTATTACAAAGTGGCTTCCAATATAGTTATTGTAAGTAGGTGAGAGATTAATAATTTAATTTCTAGGTTACAATAGGTTGTAATCAAAAGGTTCGTAGTTAGTGAAGTTGAAATCCTAAGAGTGTAGGTCGCAATTTTTAATCCCATCAACTAGGAGTTTTCCACGTAAACATTATTGTGTCATTTAGTTACTGCTATATGTTCTATGTGAACTGATAGAGAATCAAGTTCTCTATATAGTTTGGTGGACTCTTAGTTTACATCATTAACGTTGTTACTTGTATATTTTAATTTTTTTTTTAAATTGTATAAAAGTGACCACTGTGTAGAATATTGGTACCAAAGTTGTCCTTGCGTTTTGGTCTATTCATTTAAATAAAAATACGGATTAAAACATTCCACCTTAAGACAAAGCCACATTTTTTATTTTTAATTTGATCTCGGATAAATTTAGAAGAGAAAATGAAAGGAGTTCTGTAATGGTGAAAGAAAATTGATGAGTTTTGTAATTGAATGTGACTGTGTATCTCTTTCTCTTTCAATATATTATACTAATTTTTCAACATATGATGATTTATAAAATAATATTACAACAACAACAACGACCCAGTATAATCCCATAAGTGGGGTTTGGAGAGGGTGGTGTGTACATAGATCTTACGTCTACCTCGATGGGGTAGAGAGGCTGTAATAATAACCAGTAAATAAGGCCTGACACTATGAAAACGTAAGAGTAGTATAAACCCAACACTGACCACTAGCAGTTTAAAGACTAAATCCTATCAGCCTAGCCTCACACTAGTAGATTAAATATGCTCAACTGCCTCCTAACCTACAACCTTAATACTCGACCTCCACAGCTTCCTATCGAGTGCCATGTCCTCGGAAATCTGGAGCCTCGCTATATCCCGCCTGATAACCTCTTCCCAATACTTCTTAGGCCGCCCTCTACCTATCATAGTACCTACCAAATCCAACCGCTCACACCTTCTTACTGGGGCATCCAAGCTCCTCCTCTGAATGTGCCCAAACAATCTGAGCCTCGCTTCCCGCATCTTGTCATCAATAGGATCCACACCCACCTTCTCCCGAATATCTTCGTTCCTAATATTATTCATCCTAGTGTGTCCGCACATCCACCTCAACATCTTGATTTCTTCTACTTTTAACTTCTGGGTATGCGAGTTCTTAACTGCCCAACACTCAGCTCCATACAACATGGCCGGCCTAACCACCACTCTATAAAACTTACCTTTGAGTAGCGGAGGCACTTTCTTGTCACACAGGACTCCAGATGCTAACCTCCATTTCATCCACCCCACGCCTATACGGTATGTGACATCCTCGTCGATCTCCACATCTCCCTTGATAACCGACCCAAGGTACTTGAAACTGCCTCTCTTGGAAATGACCTGCAATCCAAGCCTCACGTCCAAGCCCGCTTCCCTCAGCTTGGCACTAAACTTGCACTCAAGATATTCTGTCTTCGTCCTGTTCAACTTGAAACCCTTAAACTCAAGGGTGCGCCTCCAATGTCCATCCTCTCATTAATGTTACTCCGCGTCTCGTCAATCAGAACAATGTCATCAGCGAATAACATACACCATGGCACCTCTCCTTGAATATGGTGTGTCAGTGCGTCCATCACCAGAGCAAACAAGAAAGGGCTCAGCGCAGATCCTTGGTGTAACCCCATAATAACCAGAAAATGCTCAGCGTCACCTCCCACTGTCCTAACTTGAGTCTTAGCTCCATCATACATGTCCTTAATTGCCCTAATGTAAGCAACCGGCACACCTTTAGCCTCTAGGCATCTCCAAAGAAGTTATCTAGGAACCTTGTCATACGCTTTCTCCATATTAATAAACACTATGTGCAGATCCTTCTTCCTATCCCTCTACTGTTCCACCAACCTCCTAATAAGGTGGATAACTTCCGTAGTAGAACGACCCGGCATGAACCCGAACTGGTTGCCTGATACAAACACCATCCTCCTCACCCTCGCTTCTATTACCCTCTCCCACACTTTCATGTTATGACTCAATGATTTGATACCCTTATAGTTGTTGCAACTCTAGATGTCACCTTTGTTCTTGTACAACGGAATCATCATACTCCATCTCCACTCGCCCGGCTTCCTCTTCGTCCTAAAAATAACATTAAACAACCCAGTCAGCCACTCCAAATCTGCTCTACCCACACTCCTCAAAAATTCTCGGAATCTCGCCAGGTCCGGTAGCTCTACCCTTGCTCATCTTACGCGTAGCCCTCACGACCTCCCCAACCTTGATGCGCCTGTAGTACCCAAAATCGTTGTGGCTCTCGGAATGCCCCAACTTGCCTAGCACAATATCCTGATCCTCTTCTTCATTCAAAAGTTTATGAAAGTAATATTAATGTTACTAAAATAATTTTTGAGTAAATAATTATACATGAAAGAATAACGTACAAGTTTATGTGACTTATCATGTGAATTGTCGTATAATAACTTTTTTATCGAGATCAATATAATTGGATATCATTTGGACCTACAAATATGAACAACCAAAATTTGATCAGATACAATGTGATATTTTACTTACTGTAGTTTATAAGGTGCGCATATGTAATGAATCATATCTCACGTGATATTTCTTTTTATACAATATTCCTGATGAAGCATATCTCACATGATATTCCTGATGTATGTTGTTTCTTATACCCGATGCCGACTTATGGACCACTCTACTAACCATTTGAAGGATTCATAATATTACATTCCGTAAGCTTAACAATCTTGATACCGTTATATATCTATTTAATATGATATTTTAAATGAAATATTTTTGTAATAATAATAATAATAATAATAATTTGAAAAATATAATTTTGTATAGTTATTAATATTATTATTTTCAAATATATTTTAAATTATACACATAATATGAGAAACGTTTACGAGATTCTTTTTGATATAAAGATAGAAATTATTTTGTCACAAAAAAAGAAGGTTATTTTTTTTTTTACCATTTAAAAAAAAAATTATTAAGTATAGGAAAAAAATTGTACTCTTTATATGATACTAGAAAAATAAGAATATTGAGAAAATATATTTTTACATGGATGTTTTAATAAAATAATAGTGTATGTATTTATTTTATATGGTACCACATGACCATGATAGAATGATGTATAAAGTGTATTAAAAATAAATAGAATTTTAAGTAATTTGAGACAATTCTTAATTATGCGGGTAGTTAGTTAATTATCGGTATCGGGTACTACCAAATTAATTAATTAATTGATAGATTATTGGATAAGCTAAGCCCCTCCCTCTTAACGTGGCAGCCCCCTAATTTATAATTATGATGACTCTTCAAGCTTTAAAGAGATGTGGGCTAGTCTTGAGTTCAAATCGATACAAATTGTCATGTTATATCTTAGTCATATATATGGGTGTTTCCTATATTTGATACTCTCTGGAAATTGTTCCTTTTTGGAACCTTCATGTCCCGCCGAATACCTTTCAGGTCACCTCTCTCCTCTTTGTGTGTACTACTCCATCTGGGATGGTTGATTCTTGGATTGTATGAATTTATATAATATATGTCAAATTTCTCGTAAGAGTGATAATGCATATACTGTATCAGTTTCTAGATTAGCAATGAAGATATTTAGTGATACGTCTTTGAGAATTTTGCGTAGTGTGGTGTGACAGATCTCTACAAAAGTCCCACGGGATTGTCTGTACTAATTGACTAATTGATATTTATAGTATTAATAATACTTCTGATTGTGTCATTTTGCACTTTGATGTTTGAAGGGGGCCGGGGGTGTACATTTTATTCAAATTGTCATCTTAAATATTAATCTTTGGATATGACAAGATCTGGGATAAATCCATGGACTCTATATTGCTAATTCTCGGCAAATCTTGCTCTTGGGATTTATCTGAAGGAAAAGTCTCATTTTATCTTGCTGTTACTTTCTATTATTTCATAAGTAGTTAGTTCTTCTTCGGATTGATTATAATTTGCTTTTCTGCAAATTGTATTTGCGAGATGTGATTTTTTTTTTTGGAACTTTCGTTTGTTTTACTGAATACAAGCATTTTGTTGTGATATTATGTCCACACTTGGATATAGTAATTTTCATTTTCATGAATACTCGCAGAGTTACAATATCTGTGGGTAGAAGGTGAAAGTGACATGAGGAAAGTTTTAGCAGAGTATCAAAGGTTGAAGTAACCTTATATCTATTGTTTTATTTTTTCCTTATCCAAAAAAAAAGGTTGAAGGTTCTATATCTACATTTAAAAATGTTTGAAATGAGATATTTATACGGTCGCCAACCTTTAAACCACTCCCTCCTATTTAAAAGGAAAAACACACACAGTTGTGCTACTTGATTATTTAGCCCCGATAATCGCGAGCTTTTATAATGTAGTCTCATTATTCGTCCTGCATATGGATAAAAAATGATCAATGAAATCACGAAATCTGCACTCTCGTTAAAGTTAACTACTAAACATTGTTGTTTATAGTACTATGTACTTTCATTTAGTTTCTAAATGTGCAAATTTTTTGTGTCCTATTATTTTATCATCGGTTCGTGGGTCTCAGAGTAATACGCAGTTGAAAAAGGTTATCCGGAAGAAATATTGAGATTATTACGTATTTTTCATGCCTTTCACCTATTTATACATGTGCATTGACCCCTGACTAGATGTCGTTATATACATGTATATATGTAAATATACGTATATGTGATATGGGAAAAGGTTACGGCGTTATATACGCACCACCACCTAATCAACTGGTATACGTTGACGATTTTTCCCACAGTGGCACCAGATGACTTTATATACGCGTATATATGTAAATATATGCATATGGGATATGAGAAAAGGTTACGGCGTTATACGCGCACCATCACCTGATCAGCTGATATACGTTGATGATTTTCCGATAGTGGCCGAGATGATGTGATGGAATGCCCTCAGAGGCTTTACGATGTTATGAACACATGTACCTATGCACGACATGATATACATACGCATATATATGATACTATAAGTATTTCATTATTTACAAAGTTATGCCAGTTCTAAAAATAAAGTTTGTTCTCAGTTAGGTTCTTTTATTTCTATGGTTTGCCAGTTGATGTGATTTCAAATATATGAATTTCCTTGTTGCAGGATAACAGAAAATACATGGCTGATAAAGAGAAGAAATTTACATGTGCATTATAGTATTGGTAAAGTTTTCTAATGAAAAGGGAAGTAGTAATTGTTGAATAGTACGTATAGGAGATATAATTTCTAAAAGTGCAAGTGTTGATTTTAAAATTTCAGTCCTTTTGTTTTGTGGGATAAGGCCTTTAATAAATCACTATGATAGTGTTGCAGACCTCATTAATAATTTAGGTCTTACATGTTAGCCAAAATTATTACTGTTGTCTATATTTCCATTTCTAATATTATAGATTATTTTGCATAGGCCTGAATTTTTGTCACAATATGTCTTCTATTAATGATGAATTATGGTTATGTTTCAGTTCTACCTTACGTACTTGATACATTATTCGTACTGACGTCCTTTTGTTGAGGACGCTGCATTCATGCTTGCAGGTATAGATAATCAGTTTGACGAGCCCTCATAGTAGACGAAATTGGTATTCAGTGAAGGATCGGTAAGACTACACTTCATTCGGAATGCATCCGAGTTTTATGAGTCATCGTGTCAGGATATTGCTACACACTTATGGGTAGGTCGGTACCCTGTCCCATTTGATGTCAAATAATCTTAAAGGCTTTGTAGACAAAGGTTTAGTTTATACAGTATGTCAGAGGCCTCAACGACCCATATGTATTCATGTTTTTAAGAACGGTAGTTTCATTTTACAGAGTTGTGGCCATGTGGGCCCATGATAGTTACAAAAGAAATGAGTTCAGGTAACTCGACCTATGTATATTCCAGTTTTGGTCGAATGATCATGAGTTACAGAGTGGTTTGCTCGGGCCATCACGACACCGAGTACCAGCCACGCCTCCCGAGGTTTGGGGTGTGACATATAAGATTCAATAAATTTAGGGTTCAACTTGTTCTTCTTTCCATATCTCTTAACCCTTTTGATAGGCGACACTTCCAAAATATACTGTCGTCTTTCATGAACTCTAATTTTGGATGTTGCTTGTCCAAATAGGACTTTTGATTGCAGTCTTAAGTCTTTCTTAGATGATCTTCACTTTCTCTAAGACTTCAGAACAAGTTTGGGCATGTTAGTTGTGTCTTGATAGTAGGCGATATAGTTGATATTTACACCTTAATATGACCATACTTTGTTGTTATTTTATAGATAAATTGCCAACAAAATGCTCTAAATAGTGTTCTCTTGTTTAGCAGGGAATATTATATGAGAGAAAGCAACATGGAGTGTTTTTGAGGCGATAATGTGATAAAAACACCCACTCGAGAAGTACCCGAACACAAAGAAGCATAAATGACCTGGGCAAGAAGGCCACTGCGACAGGTTACTGAAGTGAGGCAGAAAGGTCAGTTTTCACCGCGGTCGACCGCGGTTGGCCGCGACCGCTTGCACTGTTCACGCAGCTGGAAGTTTAAAGACCAAAGTGTAATTTTGGGGAAACATTTGTAAAACCCTTATAAGCTTTAGGAACTCGCCCAACTGAAGGGAAAGCTAATTTAGACTACTTTTGGGAGGAAGAACAAGTGTGAGAAGATCAACAACATTAGCGTTTTTCTATCTCCTTTTAATTCTTGCAATTTTACATTATGAACAATTTAGTAATTTTCTCTTGTTTTGTTATGAGTAGCTAAATACTTATCTAGGGTTGATGGAACCAATTGTTGGTTGAAGTTTTGACTCAAGTTGTTATAATTGAGTCAGATTTATGATATGATTGTTCAACTACGTTTTGTATGGTGATTAATTGAATAGGCCCTCGATTAATCGTGTCTAATTACCTTATATTGTTTGAGAAAGAGTATTAGGTTAGACAACGGTTGAACAATACCACTTTTGGGTAATTGAAGAGATTCATTACTTGAACTTAAAAGTGGGTTTAGAGATAACAAAACTTTGGTGGGATACTTTAGAGTTGCATAACTATTGTCAGCTAGAGTAGTTCGAGAGAATGCTCTAGTAAATTATTATAGTTGATCAAGAGATAATTGCGATAACCCATAGCTCTTAATCCTTATAGAGTATTATGGCAAGATTATAGCGGAAGAGTCAGGACCTAAACTAGCAATTGGGGAAATCACTGCCCTAGACCTTTTTACCATTGAATTATCTTTGTTTTAGCTTACCGTTATTTTTAATAGTAGTCGAAGTAGTTAAACAAAAACCCAATCGTTATTGATCCAAAATCTTGCATCTAGAGATTGATTGAGTTGATAATAACATTGCCGAAGAGGGTAATAGATAGGTTTGTTCCCCGAGGATTCTATTCCGGACATAAAAATCGGATTATATTTGCAGCGACCGCTTTGTCCTTTAAAAGGCATAGTTGGGCGTTATCAAATTTTGGCGTCGTTGCCGGGGAATCTAATGGTGTTATTTATTACAACTTAAAAGTAGTGCTAAAGTTATTAGTTCAAATCAAATTTGAAAGGTGGTAAACAATTTTCATTGAAATTCTAACGTTTGAACTCTTGTGGAATTCAGGTGTATGATTAGACCCCGAGAAAACATTCAAGGCATTAAACCGTGCCAACAGGAGGATCCAACAAACACAACAACCACACCAGCTTGAATTTGACATGGGTGACGTAGAGAACGTCAACGGAAACATCAGGGATGAGCCAGCTGACCCAAACGTCAGAGTGGTGGCACATCTTGTGCCAGAAGCTGCGCTTTATGATTGGGCTCAACCCACAACTGACAACCTGACAACTGCCATAGCTGTGCCCGCAATTCAAGCGAAGACATTCCAGATCACCAACAACATGCTGCATCGCTGCAGAATAAGGGATTGTTCTCCGGGTCACACATTGAAGACTCTCAGCAACATTTGAAAAATTTTCTGTCAATTTGTGTGACTCAAAAGCAGCCAAATGTGAACCCCAGAAGCTATCAAGCTATTACTGTTCCTGTTTTCTGTGATTGGGGAGGCTCAAACTTGGCTGAATTCACTCCCAATCAATTCCATTGTCACCTGGGAGGAATTAGTAAAGGAGTTCCTGAATAAGTTCTACCCGCCCAACAAGACTGCAAGGCAGATTGATGAAATATTGCAGTACAAGCAGCAACCGACTAAGACCTTGCAAGAAACTTGGGAAAGATTTACAGGGATGCTGGTGAAGTGTCCTCACCATGGCATTCCAAACTAGATGCTTGGCCAGAAATTCTACATGGGGTTAGCTGACAATCTAAATGCCAATGTGGATGCTTCAGTTGGAGGTGCATTTTTGAGTAAGACATTCACTGAGTGCAAAGTCCTTCTTGACAAGATGTCCCAGAATTCGGGGTGGATGACTAGAGGTACAACACTGGCACCCATAGTGCATTGAGTTCCTCTTGACCCAAATAATTCGCATGCAGAGAACATGGCCACACTCATGACTCAGATGAGTATTTTGACAAAGAAGATAGATGAGATGGGTACGAAATAGGTGCATATTGTTGACACGACAAATGGAGGACTGTGTACATCCTGTGTTAATCAGTCTTATGTGTGTTCATGGAGCGGAGTAGGTGAAAATCAAGGGGCAAGGGAAGATATGAATTATGTTAACAACTTTAGGGGACAGAGATAAGGAGGACAATAGTGGAGACCGGCACCAAATCAACAATACAGACCTAACATGCTTAAGCCTGGGGGCATGCAAGTTCAAGGCCAAATGGTGCCATACAGCAGAGACAACAGGGCTACCCACAGCAGAACCAACAACAGTTGACATATCAGCCACCTCCTCAGCAACAAGATAACAACATGGTAGAGATTAGGGGGATCCTCCAGCAACTCATTAGGACAAATGGTAAGATGCAAGAAAAGTTGGCAGTACATGATTCAGTTATAAAGAACATTGAAACTCAGTTGGGGCAGTTGTCTATGGCTTTAAATAACTGCCCCAGGGAACATTGCCAGCGGACACAAACATTAACCCCAAGGAGCCAAACCCGAATCAGCTGATGGCAGTAAGTCTCCGGAATAGGAGAGATTTAGACAAAGAGCAGGAGGTTGCACAAGCTAGCAAAGAGACTACGCCAGCCACTCCAATTCCACTAGAGGTAGATGAACCATCAAATCTGACTGAAGTGGTGGTTGAACAGGGTCAAGATGAAAAGGGTAAGGCTAAGGTAAATGAACAAGCTGCAGAGCAGGTGGTACCTCTTGTGCCACAGAACCCCAACCGAGAGAAGCCAGCAAACAGTGCACAAAGGGTGATACCGGCACCATTCCCTCAGAGACTGGTAAAACAAAAGAAGGAAGATCTATACAAGAAATTCATGGAGATGCTGCGTCAAGTTCAGTTGAATATTCCTTTGATGGATGCGTTGAGGGATATGCCAGGTTATGCGAAGATGATGAAAGACCTAATGTCAAGGAAGTTTGATTTTCAGGACCTATCCACAGTGACTCTAACGCAGACCTGCATCGCAGTAGTGACCAAACCGATGGCTCAAAAGATGTCAGATCCAGGTAGCTTCACTATTCCATGCACGATTTGGAGTTATGCCTTTGCAAAGGCATTATGTGATTTGGGAGCCAGCATAAATTTAATGCCTCTGGCTGTATACACCAAACTGGGCATTGGTAGAGCTAGACCGACTTCGATGCAGCTGTAGCTGGCTGACCGCATGGTTAAAAAGCCTACTAGGATTCTTGATGATGTGTTGGTGCAAGTGGGGAAGTTCGTGTTCCCTGCAGACTTTGTTTTTCTGGACTGTCAGGTAGATGAGGAGATACCTATCATTTTAGGTAGGCCATTTTTGGCCACTGGGAAAGCACTAATCGATTGTGAGACTGGGGAATTAAAAATGAGACTGAAGATGAAGAAGACATATTCAATGTTTAGCAATCTGTGAGGAGACCCAGTGAATATGCTAATTGCTCTCTAGTGGAGGCAGTGGATGTGATTTTGCAAGAAGATGATGTGACCCTGACTGCTAAAGATCCATCGGAGGCATGTCTGATAAATTTAGAAGAGGTGGATGGTGAAAGGTTAGCTGAGTGGGTCATGGCTCTTGAAGGCCAAGGATTCTGGAAAAGAGACCCTCAGTTCAAGTCCCTTGAGTTAGAAAAAAAGGCTACATATCCAGCAAAGCCATCAGTAGAGGAACCACCTAAGCTGGAGCTGAAGCCGCTCCCAGCTCACCTCAGGTACGTTTTCTTAGGCCCTGATTCTACTTTGCCTGTTATTATATCATCTGGTTTGCTAGATGTGCAGGTAGAACAACTCTTACAGGTACTGCAGGGAAGTAAGACTGCCATTGGCTGGACCATGGCAGACATAAAGGATATCAGCCCAGCCTTCTATATGCACAGGATTCTCTTGGAAGAAGGGCACAAACCTTCTAGAGAACATCAACGAAGGCTGAACCCGAACATGAAAGAGGTAGTAAAGAAGGAAGTGATCAAATGGTTAGATGCGGGAATCATCTTCCCCATCTCTGATAGCAACTGGGTCAGCCCTGTCCAATGTATGCCGAAAAAGGGGGGAACGACTGTTGTGCAAAATGAGAACAATGAGTTGATCTCAACTCGCACACTAACGAAATGGCGGATTTGCATGGATTACCGAAAATTGAATACAGCCACCCAGAAGGACCACTTCCGCTTGCCTTTCATTGACCAAATGTTGGACAGGCTGGCCGGGCGATCGCACTTCTGTTTCTTAGATGGATATTTGGGGTACAATCAGATATCAATAGCCCCCGAAGATGGAGAGAAAACATCCTTCACTTGTCCTTATGGCATCTTCACGTTTTGGAGAATGCCTTTTGGGCTTTGCAATGCACCGATGACATTTCAACGGTGCATGTTATCCATTTTCACAGACATGGTGGAGGATATTATGGAGGTCTTTATGGATGATTTCTCCATGGTGGGAGATTCATTCAAGGATTGTCTTCACAACTTAAGAAGAGTGCTCAAAAGATGTGTGGAGATAAATTTAGTGTTGAACTGGGAGAAGTGACATTTTATTGTACAGGAAGGGATAGTCCTGGGACATCGAGTGTCCAGTAAAGGAATTGAGGTCGACCATGCTAAGGTTGACGTGATTGAAAAACTACCACCGCCCACTTCAGTCAAGGCGGTGAGAAGTTTCCTTGGGCACGCCGGGTTCTACAGGCGATTCATAAAAGATTTCTCCAAAATTGCTAACCCATTATGCAAACTCCTTGAAAAGGATCACCCCTGTGTATTTTCTAATGATTGCAGGTTGGCATTTGAGGAGCTGAAGAAGAGATTGGTGACTGCACCCATCATTGTTGCACCCAACTAGGAGCAACCATTTGAGCTCATGTGCGACGCAAGTGACTATGCCATAGGAGCAGTCTTGGGGCAGCGAAAGGGTAAACTGATGCACCCGATTTATTATGCAAGCAGAATGTTAAGCGGTGCACAACTCAATTACACTGTGACAGAAAAGGAGATGTTGGCTGTTGTTTTTGCATTTGAAAAATTCAGGTCATACTTGATTGGCTCGAAAGTTATTGTTTACACCGACCATGCAACAATTAGGTACCTGATAGAAAAGAAGGAGTCAATGCCACGCTTGATTCGCTGGGTTCTTCTGTTACAAGA